CAAATCTATATCTGAATTTATAAATACACTACTATGATTAGAAAGCTAAGTTTATCAAATGAAATGTCACAGCATGATTAAAGATGCATCTCTTTCATTCATCTATAATTGTTTGAGTAAACAGATTCTTCTTCCCTTCTGGGTCAAGAGTTAAATGCCTGCATTCAACATGAAGTGTGTCTTTATAAGTGCAAAAACAAATGTTATATAAAAAGGCTAATGATAGACCTTCATTTATTTTATCATTAATTAAGCCAGTGTAATAAAGGATTCTAGACATTTAATTTGAGAGCACAGTCCATAAAAATAACAAATGAGATGCATAGATAAAGACAGCATACTTGTTTTCTATGTAATGCACAATTACTTAGAAGTTAATTATGTCTGACTCTTACTTGTATGCTTCCTATAAAAGAGCAAGCCCGATCATATTAATCCTCTAGACTGATTGGCAAATCTTCCTTTAACAAGATAAAGGACTGAAATATCATCTCTCAAGAAAACATCCACTCTGCTGTTACAACAAACAGCTGACCCTTCTGAGTCTGTGACCTTTTACTGTTCTCTGCTGCCTCAAGTAACCTGTTGTATCCCTGGATTTGTGGCCCTCCCTTCATACCTGGGTGGGCTTTTAGCTTTGAGGAGGGTGCCTAAAGCCCTAGCAATGAGAAAAAAAATACAAACAAAAATTACCCCTTTGCCCTTAAACAGGAATCTTGCAATACTGTGCAGTCTGGAAAAATGCACCAGATTTACAGGGTAGATAACTTTCTAATTTGTACAGCCATTCCAATGACATAACTTATAAATTTAAGGCCATAAATGCTGGCTATCATTTATGCACGTAAGTGCTTTACTCTTTGTGAACCTCTCAACTATGTACATTGTATTAATAAATGAATATTTATATGTGTTCGCATAGCCTGTGCCACTGGCAATACCATAAGCTAAATAAAGGCTCCTCAGACAAACAAGTCTCATGTTGCTTCCTGAAGTTTGCTAAATCTGAGCTTTGGGAGGTCACCAAAGGAAGTCAGTCACAAAGATATAGCCTTTGCATAGAGAATACCCTGTTCTGACACAAGAAAAATGAGTATGAAGAGTAAACTAAGAGGTCATAAGCAGCCGGAATAAATCTCTCAGAAAGCAGGAATTCCAGTCATTTAGTAATGAGCAAGGCTGAACGCAAATGCCTGATTCTGGCAATACCTACACAGATGCTTCTCTTCACTCTTACAGTTAGTCTAACTGACTTGTACAGGGCTACCTGAAGCAACAGAATGTGCTTCCTAGGCTTTATAATTTCTCAGCCATGGCAGTGGCAGGACATAATAGTTCTCACCCTCTCTGATTCTGCCTGTAGCATGTTTTTAGTTTTGTATTCATACTACGTTTTGTAGTTGCAGTATGTGTGCACAGGGATCTACTTGAAGTGCATGGAGTTAAAATAAAAATAGCAGGCTACTTGCAGCGCACAGCATCATGTTCATGGTCTTTTCATGGAAAGCTTCCTTCTCTCCGCTGCTGATTGGCTGAGAGACCCCAGCAGCCCTGCCCCTCACTGCTGATTGCCTGAGAGGGCTGACTTTCATGTGGCCCCACCCCTCACCACTGATTTATGGAGAGGACTGCCCTCCATGCAGCACCCTTGCTGCTGATGGGGGGTGGGGAGCGCAAAAGGCAGCACTCTCAGCCAGTTTGTGGCAGGGAGGAGGGGGTGGGTATCATCTTGGCTGCTTCCCTTTATGCCAGTGGTTTCCTCACCCCCCCCCACCCCCCTGGTGGGCTGAGAGGCTAGTCCCACTGGGGAGCCAGAATTTAATTTTAATAAATTCCCCTCCCCTCAGCAATTCCACAGAAAATTAGAGGAACCTGTTTTTGCAGTGATCATGGAAACTGCCTGTTTCACAGTTTCTGTAAAAGTTGCAAATTTCCCTATATATGAAGGACTGGAGTGGTGGGACTTTGTGAATGGAGGAAACGGGACTCAATGACCTATTAGGCCCCTTCTAAGCCAGAGGCAGGAGAAGGTTTTTGCCACGTACACTACAGTTTTATTGGATGAGTCGGTATAAATAGGCAGATGTAAGAAATATCTGATATGCTTCTAAAACGCTCATCTCTTCAATATGTAAACACCTTCCTTATTTGATAGATGAGGAATTCTCGAGTTGAATAGGCCTCCTAGATTTCACCAACTGCTGGAATTATGGGGGGGTGTTTGTTGTGGGAGTTTGGGGGGGGGGGGTTGTTTTGATGTTACCTGAAAACAGAGTATTTGGAAAGTTGGATTTGATCAGGTTTTAATGTACTTGAAGTTTCCTTCCTATGCCTGCTAAAAACTTGAGAACACAGCTTGCAATCAAGAGCCAAGTTAACTGCTGTTCTAGAAGGAAACTGCTGATCAAGACAATAACTAGATCTGGCCTATCACACAGCCTCAAAAAAACTGATAATAGGATACAGAATCTAAATTTGAGGTAACTGGATCATTTTGGCACAGGGTAACAGTTGTAAGTTACTGCCAGCAAGTTTTGAAATTAGCTCTGTTTCTTTCCTTTGAGGGGAGGTAAAAATCTTGTCCATATACTACTGCATTTTCTTGACTAAATGATAAGCCCTCCATAATTAGATTCTATATATAGAAAACTTAAATTTCTTAATTTTCCAGATATAAAATCTAATTATTGGAGGTTTTGCCTTTAAATTTTCCCCCTCCTACTGCTACAGCAAGGAGAATATATCAGATACCCCCCCTTGCCCTCTGCCTTCCCTCAGCTTCTTCTCCCTCCAGAGCTTTTCCCCTCTCCTTACCTGTCAGACCCTGCTGTCTCCAAGCACATGGAAGTGAGGAGAAAATTTGAAAAGTGTCCTTGAAATAAACATAGCTGTAGTAATTTACACATAGTACCCATAGACTTAGTTCATCCAGAATTGATACATTTTACCTTCTTGGAAAACGCAAATTTTAGTACTCCAGAAACACACTTTTACATAGTACTTTAGCACCTACTTTTTTATTTATGTCTTGGACCAGATTAGCTCCAAATTCTATCAACTCTACCACCAGCAAGTGTCCTATCTCAGACTTTTCAGCTACTCCCAAATCCATGGCAAACATCCTATATGTAAGCTCCAAGGAGTTCAGATGCCCCCTACCCTCACTTGTCCCTAACTAAAAGACTGAAGGAGCAAGGCCTTGGAGTTCAGATGCCCCAAACTCATTTGCCCCTAGCAAAAACACTAAAGAAGCCAGCTAAAGGAAACACCTGAGAGAAATTTCCCATCCCCAAAAACTGTGTAGCCAAGATCCTCTCATGAAGAGACTTTAGCAGACAGCACAGGACTTTACCCTCAACTACAGTAATCCAAAGCTAAAGAACTCTTGATTTACCCTATAGTCCCTTAAAATGGGCCCCACCAGAGTCAACAATGTTTAAAACCCTGGTGAACTCACAGCTTGGCGTTGGGGGGTGTTCCAGATACCGACCACAAACGAGCCATGTGCTAATTAGTCCCCACTTATGACTGGAACTGGGTGCTCTTGTAATAGTTCCTAGGATGCTCCAAAAATCTATGTGCAGTTGAGGCATATAAAGGGCAACCTGGTCCCATTTCACCTCATTGAGTGTGGGGCCACAGTAATCGTATGTGACAGGGGGACTCTGAGTGAACTGTTTGGGGCCTCGTTTGGTGCTGTTTGCCCAGACATTTAAGGCTGAAGAAACAGGAATCATTGATAAAGGAAAAGAAAAGTATGGCTTAGCTGTGGGAGTGAAGAGAAAGTCAAAATGCACCCAATGTAGTGGCTCACCATGACTTGGAAAAAAGCAGGGAGAGGCCTCTGTTCAATGGGCATTAGCATGTATCTTATTCAGATAAGCAGCACTAAACACAAAGGAGGGTCAGGGATGGGATCAGTCCAGGTGCTTTTCTGCTGTGACTAAAGGGAAGATCCCCCTTCCTGACCTCTGAGGCCAAGTCCAGATGAGCATAGACATTTGGTTCCCGGGGAACCACTAGCAGTGGGACACCTTGTCCCTAAACACCTGTGCCACGTGCCCTCTCGTGTATGGCAAGTTATCCCTGGTGAGGCAAAGGAGGCTAGGGCCAGCACAGTTGTGAGCCAGGGAAAATGCAGCTGCATCGCTCCTCCAGCTTGGAGTCTGGCTTGGCCAGCATGGCTGTGGCTTCAGGCAGTGCATACTGTCCCTGTATGTTCTGCCCCGCTTTTTTTTTTTGTGCAGGATTTTTTGACCCCTGAATCTCCAATGGTCAAAAAAAAACCTCCCACGCTACAAGGTAGCAATGCAGGAAACTCCCAAATATGTGGTGTTACAGACAGGTCTGTGGTGCAACATACTGCACAGCCGTGCTCATCTGGACATGGCCTCTACATGCAGAAGGGGGTGGAGACCTGTCCTTGCACTGCAGGCAGGGCCTGCTACCAGTGATCTCAGCTACATGCCTCAGTGTATTGAGATAGGGGATCTCCCCCAGCTTCCTTCTTTGGCCCATTGGTTAAGGGCATACAACACCCAGGGTATCCGAACCCCAAAACCTCCTAGCTTGGGCCTGCACATAAGATGCCTACGAGGGCTTTGGAAGTAGCTGAAACCCCAGGCTGATGCGTGTAGGAGGGAAGATACTTGCCAGCGGTAGTACCACGTGGATTTGAACACTGAGGTCTGCTCAGTTGATGACAGGTTTCATAACTGATTTGGCTAATTTGACCTGGAACCCCAAATTTGAAAAACAAAACAAACAAACAAACAAACAAACAAACGGAGGGCACTTGCCCGTGGCAGTGTCACACACCAAAACAAACGAGTTCTGCTCAGTTGATAGACTCGGGCCTGGTCTGTCCTGAGACAGGACATTAAAAAAGAAAAACCCTCTCTGCTTTCCCTCTCCTGCTCCTTCAGCCGCGGGGCTGGGGGCTAAGGCAGGGGGCGGGCACCACCCGCACGTGCCCTGCACCGCAGCGGGCCGCGGCCTACCTGGCTCCGGCACTGCCCGGCCCCCGCGCTGGCCACGTCCCCGCCGCGCTCACTTGCCTAGGTGCAGAAGACAGCCAAGGCCGCACACGCGCACTAGTCGGGGCGCCGCTGTGTGACTGAGCTCACGTACAGCGGCGGGGCGGGGCCAGGGCGGGCGGGGGGCGGGCTTCGGCGGGCCTCGGCCCTTATAAAGCCCCCACTGGGCTATCCTCTCTTGTCTGTGACGGGCTCGGGGATTGTAGCTGGAGTGCGTAGCAGCCAGGGAGCGCAGCCCCGGCTTGACTCGGTTCCGCCTTTGTCGTCGCCTTGTTCCAGGTGAGCGGCGGCCGCCTGCGGACTCGCTCTCGTCGCCGGGCGGGGTGGTGGGAGCGCTTCGGAGGCTCCGCTTGTGGCTGGCTGGGGGGCGGTCTCCCCACAGCTCCCGCTCCCCGGGGCAGGAGGCGCCGGACCGCACTGTGCGCAGCGCTCCGTGCCCCGTGGGGCTGGCGGGAGAGCGGCGCTGCCGGGGCTGTGCTCTGGGATACTAGTGCTGGGCCCGCGGGGCGGGGCGATACGTGGCAGTCGTGCTCCGCCTCCGCGGCTCCCGCTTTCTTCCCTCGCCTTCTCTTGTTTCTTCCCCCCCCCCCCAATTTGGGGTGAGGGGTTGCCTGAGACGTGGGACTTCTCCGCCTTGAGATCCTGCGGCCCTGTCCCCTGCCCGATGGGAGGCACGAAGTGCTGCTTGTGTCCTCCTAGCTCACCCCTGAGATCAGCTGGCCAGTGTGGAGAAGATGGGGCAGGCAGCGGTTGGGGCAGTCACCCCTCTGCTTCCCTTCTCGTCCCTGGGTTTTGTGCCTTGTGGGTGAGGTAGTTTGACTGCTGGAAGTGAAGCAGCTTACCTCTGTGCAAGACACTGAGTTAAACCCCTCTGCTCACTGCTGCTGACAGGCGGCTTGCAATGCTGCTGTACCTCACTTCTGCTGTGGGAGTCTGCTTTAGGTTCAGCCTCTTGAGGCTTAATGTAGTTGGGAATGAAAGTGAAATATATACAGATAAATTTGGTGATGTGGGGAAAAGAGCTTGACCACAGTGGTGGCAGGGGAATTGCCCTGGCCAGGGTAGTAAAACTAGTGGAGGGTTGCACCCTTGTCTTCTTGCAGACAGGACTCCCTATGAGAGCCTCCTGGCTAGCTTCCCACTAGCCAGCTTCCAGCTACACACCAACTTTATGGAAATGAGACTCCTCCCATGGTTGCTCCTGCAGCTGTACAGCTGAGGACAAGCAAAACTCAGGGGCAGCAAAACCCCAAGTCTACAGGCTTGGGCCTGCACGTAGGAACCCTGTCAAAGGATTTCAAAGCATCTGAAGCCCCAGGTGGGGGTAGAGGATGTTTGCTGATAGAGCAGTGTATAGTTCTTGAATGGCTCATAGACTTAGAATTGATTTGACTTTGGACACAGTTTTCCTTACATGTTGTTTCATGAGCTTAAGAAAACATTCCTATTTTATGCTTCTATACTGCAGTCCTCCCTAGGCATTCTGGTGTGACAGCTCTGTGCAGACCTGGTGTAAATCTGACTGCATCCAACTGTCTTCCAGAAGTGACTTCAGTATGGAAGCCCTAAATATCCTCTCAAAGAGGTTACTGAGAACCCCTTGATTACTTGCTCTCGTTCACCTGAATGTCTTGGGGAGCTGCCTGCCTCCTTGGGAGGAGAGAGAAGAGTTCACACTTCTGTGTCTGTGTGGCTTACTGCCTCTGGCTGATGCTACCATATTAGAAAAAATAGATTTAGAGTGGGGGTTAAGGATGCTTAAAACTGGAAGCCTTCAAAGATTTTTTTCCTGTCAAGATGCTAATAAATGGAGGAAGCTATCTCAATAAGCTCTTAAGGTACAAAGAACAAAATATACTAAGTTTAACTTGGAGAGAAACTTTCAGAGTAAAATACACAAATGCAGAAAATGTACTTTTGGCCTACCCTGCAGACAAACCTATCTAACTGGGATGGAAATAAGTCTAAGGGCTTTCTGCTGGTTCAAGATGTAAGAGTCTGAGTAAGATAGCATCACCCTCATACTCTGTTGGGTTTCTGGCAGGGGTGCCTCCTGAGTCTGGGGGGGGTACAACTTGTGGGTGAGCCCATGGGTGGGCCAGAAGCCCCATATCCCCCCCTATACTTCTGTGCTGCAGCTTAGTGCCCCCCAGAGCTCCCCCAGCCTGCAGAGCAAAAAAAGGAGAAAAAAAAAAAAAAAAAAAGAAAACTACCCTGTCCTGAGGGGGGCTGAGTTGGGGGGCCAATCTCGAGGTGGGCATGTGCCCCCCCCCCCCCACCAGTCACCTGTGGTATCTGATCCAATTCTGCAGTTCCAGCTGAAATATTTTTTGATTTGGTTACCTTGGCTTTCTTTAGACTGTTACAGTAACAGGAGTTGATCTAAATCTTGCTCTTCCTGTGATTTGTCTACACCGCAACTGAAGGATGTGATTGCAGCACCAGTAGGTGCAACCATGCTACTGTTAATCTTGCTCACACTGTTAACAAAGACACTGAAGGTTTAGTGGCATAGATTTCAGCACAGGCTGACCCAGCATGCTGAGGGCAAAGGTGTATAATCTGCTTACTGTGCCAGAGTTTGTGCCCCTTCATCTTCACTTGTTAACAGTGCTGCACAGATGTGCTTGCTTTTGCTGCAGTCATGGCTTTTGCCTGCGTAATAGACGAGGTGAAATGTGTAACTTTTTTCTTTCAAGAACTTAGGCAGTGATGTCTGAGATGTTTGTTTCTTGCTGTGTGTCTGTGCTTAGATAACAGGTTATCTGAACTGTTATGAATACAAGGACTTGCAAGGAAAAAATCCTTGGTGGTGTGGGGGGGAAAGAAAATATAGGAAGATAATTTATCTTTTGCTCAACTCCTTGAGTTTGCAATTATAAGTCACAGTGGTGCCCTCTTATGATATTTGGGAGTGGATAACTTTTTTTTTTTTTTTTTAGTTATCTGCAACTCCAATTAAATGTTGTAATAAATGTCTTCTGTAATGACCAGGAACCCCCAAACTAGGAAGGTTTTAGTTTTTAAAGTCTCTAGATGGAATGTGGAGTAAGAAAGAACCATGGCAAGAGATGCTTTCTGACTTATATTCTTGCATAGTGGGAGTCTTCATCTTGCTGATATTCTAAAAATGTCTGCAAGGAGGAAATGCAAGCCTGCTATAAAAACACTAGATATAAATTATAATATCTTTTTCATGTGTTGTAGGGAGAGGAGAAGAAAGGAATCCTCTACAGAGACAGAAGTGCGGAAGAGGTATTAGGAAGTGATCTTATGCATATGGGTGTTTTGTTTTTTGCTTTTTCTTTTTTTTTTGTGGTGACTTATCCCTAGTGTACCAGTTTGAACTTTAAGGTAAAAGTAAGAACACAGCATAAACAAAAATGGCATGTTGAAACGAAGTTCTTGTCATTTGTACAAAGTCTTGCATGGGCTGCCTCTACTTATAGAAAAGAGAAGTATTTCAATTATTGCGCAAAAAAAAAAAGCTGCATTACACATGCAGCCAAAGCTACTTGTTTAGAGGATATATAACTTGATTACCTAGTTTCAACGGTTAGTTTAAAGGTTCTAGTTCCAGATGGAAAAGGAAAACCCCATAGACAGAGAACTTTTCTATACCAATTTCCAGAATGCCTCTATCTCCTGGTAGTACCAGGAGAGGGAACATTAGTGAGGTAAGGACTCTTGCTATAGTGCCAATATTTTGGGATGCACTGACTAGTTGCAAGTAAATGCAAGTGCTGGGTCCATATACAAATTCCTACAGAAACAAAAAGGTGGGAATAAAAATGATTTGGTAACTGATAACAGTGTGTATATGAAAACGCCTGTTTTGGCATTGAAATAAAGTGGGTAAGTGGTTGAGAGGGCAGGGGTCAAGTTAGGGTTGTTAAAGAAAGCAACTACATTTATTTTACCAAGTCATTATGTGAACAACTACTTTGAAAAGTCTATGAACTAACAATGATTTAGTTACTGTGATTTAATGTGTGCTAGCCCCTAATAGAGATGTGAAGGGAGCTTGGTTTGTTTTTGGTTTTTGTGGTGGGTTGGTTTGTGTGTAGGTTTTTTTTGTTTGGGGGGGGGGGGTGTCGGTAAACTTTCATGATGCAATAAAATAAAACACTAACTGAATATACTGAATCTTCAAAATGTGAGGGCCTTTAGGGGCTCTTAACTTGCCTGTCATGCAAAGGGGAAGATTTGGATTTGACTGGAATGTCTAGTTATTTCAGTGGTAAAAGCAACCCAAAATATCTGTCTAAGTTCTCCTTCATACACCATATGTGAGTGTGAAAGCCTAATTAAAGGTGATCAAGAAAAGGCTTTTTAAAGTATTATATACTTTCTAAAACCAAAATGCTAGCGGAGAGTGTAGAATACGTCCCATGTTCTGTGTTGCTTATTTGAATCAAAGTAAAAAAACTTAAATGCTTAGTTTTTGGTGTAGTTACTCGCTGTAAAATACAGTATAGTACATGTAGTCATCCATATAGTACAGTAATTTGTCTTTAGAGCTTTAAATCATGTCTGACAGGTGATGCTTATTGGCCTGAGACTTCCACTGCCTTGAAGCTTGAAGTGACTCTGTAGATAAGCCTTCAGGGCTTCTGTGCCTTAAGTTACCCAGTTATCACTTAGTAACTTAATCACTTTTCCTATCCCATGCAGGGTTGTGGTGAGGACCAGCACATTTAAAAGATGCTTGGGTGTTACATTTTTCTCATTCTTGGCTGCCATTTATGTAAAGTGAATTAAATTCAAGTCTATCAAAGGTTAAAGTAATGTGAGCACCTGATTAAGTGCTCCAAGGGAAAAGCTGTCTGGAGATCAGATGGAGAAGACCTGTGAAGGCTGCAGAGTTCTACTGTTTAACCCACACTGAGGAAAAAATCAGTTTTAATTGGCAGACTCCTGCCAGTTATGCACATCTAAAAGCCAAGGTGGTTTTTAAACACAAATAAAATTCAGTTAATTAAAATACTTTTTCTTGTTGCTGATCTAGTTCTAATTTCTTTC